GTAATGGGTATCGGCCGGAGAAGATGGATTGGGAAAGGAGGAGACGAGTGAAAATTCTGTGGTACATGGTGGTACCCCAATTGGTAATACATTGGTACCTGTCGGATTAATGTTCACGGGAGATCGGAGATCGGAGAGAGGAGTTTTTAAAAATACTTAAAATACCCTTTAATTATAATTTTAACTCAAATTACCATAATTACTAATTTCCTTATTTATCCGTTGATTTGTGGTTAAGATTGGTTTTCACAGTTACCACAAACAACTCAGTTCTCCCTTGAATAGGCCCCTATATATATATATATATATATATATATATATATAGGGAAGATCAAATGTTAACCAATAATTTTGTGTTAACTTTGAAAACCATGGCAACCAATCAAATTCCATTCTTCTTGTAGGTTTATATCATGTTCACATCTTAATTATAAGGGTATTTCAGTAAATTGATTTGATATGTAACTCCCAAACAATTAATGGGGAGTTACAAATCATCAAATCTCAAAAAATATGCATTTATAATATTAATATTAATATTTTTTTAATCTTGATCTTCCATGTTCATTGTTTTATTAGTTTTTAATTCGTATATAAAACACGGTAGTAAAAATTTTCGGTATCGATTAAGCTAATATGGATAAACGCAATGGAAAATAAATCGACAACAGTGAGAAGATTAAAATGGTTTATGATGACAATCAGAGTTCGAGGTCGGGAATTGAATAAATTAACCAAAACGAATGTCTTGGTAAAAAGATTTTTATTTTTTTTAGATTCGTTTTAATCGAAATTATGTTCATTACAATGTGTTGTGTTTTTTATAATTCATCTTCTATTGATAGCTTTTTTCTTTAATTATTAAAATACGTACCTAATTCACATGTTCAAATGGAAGTACATGCACRACCCATTTTCRTATTGTTATATTACCGACTTTTATGAATCATGAACCATTGTGTTCATGTTACTTCTTCTATCATATGAACACAAATGTTATTTTTTAATCTTGATACCAAATCTTTATATTTGTGTAAGTGTTTGCACCCGATGTTCATAACGTTGAGGTTATGTGTTCATATATTTTATACGATATGAACAATGAGTGAACACGATATGAACAAGGGATGAACAATCATATAAGATCAGAAACATATATGAACAAGGGGTGAACTTTAAACGACGTGGATGCAATGCATGTATAAAACTCCAATTGACAAAGGATCGCTTCTGAATGTGTTTGTAATGAAGGAACTATTGTTCACAAGCTGTTCATATCGTGTTCATACCTGTTTTTTTTTTTTTTTTTTT